TGAATAATGTATGTTTGATGAAAAGGGAATGGTTGGAGTAGTCACAAAAACGGTTGTGGAAAGAGCGTCACAGAGTCTGCAGCTTTTTTCTTCGGCCCCAAGAGGAGGCCAAACAGATCTGAGCTATTTATTTCAGAGGAGGGGCAGTGTTTTTGGCAAGGCTCTCTCCACCATGCTGCGGGATGTGAACCCAGCTCCTCGAATAGATTTGAACCAAAGTTTCTCGTAAAAAGGAGGCTGAATATGCTAACAGCTGACACAGACAGATAAGTCTCATAATGCTGTGGAAGTCGATGGAGGTTGTACGTTTTGTGCAAAGTGCAGCAGCCCCAACACTGCCAAATGAAAGATAGAATTTTACGTTCTGTGTTCTTCCTCTGGTATAGGCTTGCCTGTCATCTTATTTCATAGTTCAGGCAATAGAAACGCTGTTTAAATGTGTATCACAATCCTATAGATAGAAACATATTCCTACTAGATTTAAACCATTACACCCCAAGGTGTTAAAGAGGCCCTCCTGTGTGTCGCTTTTTAAGATCAAGGGACATTTTTGCTTATAATGTCTAGAAAAGGCAGATGAACACTAACAGCTGCTTATCCACAGGCTGCTGAACTGAACAGGGAAAAACTATTCTGGAAGTCAGATCTCCAGAGAGGAATGATAAATTATGAGCATCTATAAAAAAGAGTGATAGTCTCTAAGGGCAGTTGAGCAAGGTTGATAACATAAAATATGTAAAGTGTGGAAAATATTTAATACTTCTGTTTCTTTGCTGTAAAGAGTTGGTAGGGTTGTGTTATCAATATATACAGTGCTACTGAGCTCAGACATCCAGGAGAAATGCAATATATTAATTCTCAGATCACTAGTTTGTGAAATGCGTTTCTGGTATCCAGAGATTTGCAGGACTGTTACGCCGATAAGGAGTCAAGGGCAGTCTCTTCATGGTCTGGAATTGCCCTCTTGGGAGAAGGATGGAATAGAGGCAGAGGAGCAGCAGATTAAGAGCTGGACAGTTTAGTGTTCTGCTTCCAACTGCAGAATTTTTTCAGCTCTCCAGTCTGCAACTGTTTAAAAATATCTAGCAGCTTCATTTCTGAGTTATGGCCACCATTCTGAGTGCTGAAGTACCATCCGTAAAAAGATGTTCTACAGGCAGACATGGTGTACATGGAGAATTTCTGCTGGATAAACACATTTCACATAACTCCTATGGCACAGACAGAATCTTTCACTGTGACAAAATGTTTTGGTTGGAGGTAGCTGTAAGCAAAATCCTGAGGAGGCCAGCAACATTGCAGGAGGAACTTCCAAGAGGCAAAGTCTTCTGCACTGTTTCAGCATCCTGATAGGATGTACACTCTAACCTTGAACTTGGGCTGGCTGTTTATGCAAGGGTCCCAAAGTAAAAGTCTGGAGAAACGAAAGATACCTCAGCATAAAAGGCCTGACAAAATACTTGTTATTCAGGTCTTACCATCAAGGCTCAGGTCATGCAGAATGAGAACAATTAGAGCAACTGGAAGAGACTAAAATGTTCTCCTTTTCTGTAGTCTCTTTGAAAGACAGTGACAGCAAGTACTCCACATGTGTCCCACCAGGTGAATTTCCGTGTGGGGGTAGTTCCCTTGCAGGCAGACCTTCAATTTATTGTTTCTTGCACCAGGTATATTGAAAGTAAACTGAGAAAGTGCCTTGTTGGCCCTTACCCTTGGCAGCTAAGCAAAATATAAGTTCCGGTAGATTGTTTCACTTACATAAAGAAACTGATGACAGAGCCAGGGATCTCTCTGAGGCAATTCTCTTTACTTACCAAAAAAAAAAAAAAAAACTTCCCAGAATGGAATGGGAGTAAAATAACAAAAGACAGTTTAATCCTACTTCTAAGTAGTCTCTTTTTTTCAGCCAGACAGTTTAGGAAAGCTCGCTCTTTCTAGTGCTTGTTTTAGATGTCTTCCCAGTTTTCAACTCTTAATATTATCTCTTTCTAGGTTGTTTCTTGTTGCTGCTGTCTAAAAGATATGTAGCTCTACCAGACAAGTTCCTAGCCCCTGCATTTGGATCAGATAAACCCACTGATTCAAGTTCTGCAGCGATTTGCCAGATATCTGTATTTCGGCTGGATCATCTGGGTTTCCTTGAGTTTTCTGGTTGCCCAACAGAACATTTTCTTCACTTTCCACATATCTGCTGATTTGTGAAACACATCACGTCAGTCTACCAGCTTCAAGGAACTATAACCTAAATCATAACATTTTTATATCTTGAGAGCATTTTTAAAAACTGAAACCTGGCATTAAGATTATAAATTCTTATCATATGGGTGGATACTGAGTTTTTGACTGATGACTAGATCACACTTGGCTAATTTCAGTTTACCAGGAAAGTCTTTATGACTAGGACTATTTTAGGTCCTTTGAGTTTCAGTGATAGATTTCTTAAAGCTGTTCAGGCTTCCCTGGGTAGTTGTTTTGCCTCTAAGGCTACACTCTAGGCCCAGGGAAATCTGTGATCTTCTTTAAAATGTTTTTTGAAAGCTGTTTATAATCTACAGCATTAAGCAAAAGAGAAGCAGAAAGAGGAAGGGCTGCTATCCAGCTGCTTGCTCGACTATGGAGGGCAATTTTGTATTGGCTGATATCCCATTTGCTGAAGAACTCAAAGACAGAAGGGAGAACCTAAAATAAGACTTGGGGAGTTTTCACTTGAATTTCTAGCACATTCTTCCTTTCAGATTAGGAACTGTGGCTTGGTCTGTGTGTGGAAGATCTGTGGTTTTTAAATGGAAGGGAAGCTACAAAGTCTCCTGTGAGCGAGCTACTTTGGGTGAGCTGCAAATGGTTCCTCAGTTGCATGCACAAATCAGCTTCCTCTGTGAAAGCAATAGAAAGCTTGGATAGAAGAAATAAATTATAGCACTTTTGATGGAATAATCATAGGCCACAATTCTTACATGAGTATTTCACCATCTTTCTGCAAAGTATGGCCTTTCCCCAATTGTGCTGGTTGTATGTCAAAAACTGCAAATCCTCATCCATGCAGTTGTCACAGGGATAGATTTCTGGCTGCTCGAAGCAGGAAGCTTTCCTTGCCCGTCACATGCAGTGCACAGGTTTGATACAGGTGCACAAGAACAGCTCATAACAGCATAGCCCTCATTAATAATAAAAACTAACTAAATAAATAAAGGTAGACAGAAAGGGGTTCTGCTATTGTCCAGGAGAGGCTGGGAGAGAGAAATTCCTGTCTTGCTGTTTTTCGAGCTCTTCGTTTAGAGAACCAGCCTGCCCTTCAGGATCCTTTTTAATGTCATCCTTAGGCTAAACTTAGGTCCCTTATCAATCCAAAAACAGGTGAAAATACAGGGAGAATTGGAGCAGGGATGCCCTATCCATTTTGCTCCCCTAGCATATATATTCTGCCTTTTCCCAGTCTTCATGTGATTACAGATTTCAGTTCAGCGAGAACACATTTGAATGTTTTTGTAATGACACTTTAAGCCATGTATTTTCTCCCTTACATTTCTGCTTTTCACTATCATCTCACTTCCTCCATTCTGTTTTCTTTGATGCTGCCTGTCTTTTGATAGTGTTTCCACTCTTCTTTTATACTTAACTTTCCATCCGTTGTTTTCTTTTGTTCTCTAACAACTATTTTTAACTTTCTTTTTCTCCTGCTCCATTACCATCACCATGCCTCTTCCCTTCTCACATTCCTAAATTCGCTCTCATTTCTCACTTCTGCTTATCATTCCCAGTCTTTATGCATTTCCTTCTCTAGTAGTTTCCCATACGAGATAAACACACAGATATGTGTATGTATATATGTGTATATACACAGCTCAATCTTCTGAGCCTTCTTTTCCTCTGGAAGTTGAATAGGCAGTAGCAGAAGAAGAACCAACACATGTGGCAGGCAAGTTGTGAGTGATTGAGGCTGAGGATCCCCGAGCAGGACGGCAGCAGTATTAAACCTGCTAGTGGTGGTGGTGAACACAAGACCAGCAAGATGAGGAGAACAGCGAGGGAAGGGACTGGTTTACACTGTTCTCACTAGCTTGTCTGTGGTGGGAAGCTCTAACTTGTGACCTAGCAGGTGACAGTCCTTGGAGAAACCCACCAATTTGTGGGCTTGCCCATGTGTGGCCTTGAGTCCTGCAGTAAAGCTAGGCAAGATCTTTAAGTCCAAGATAATTCAGCTTACTTATGTCAGTGGAGATTCTTCTCCTTTTGTAAAATGCAATTTAAAGTAGCATTCAGGTATAAAATAATCTAATATTTATATACAGTAAATCTTCTTGACTTCCCTTTTAACAACAACGGCAGCTGTTAAGCAAATAGATGTTTCCTCAAAAAGACTTTGAAACCTTAGGAAACCTCCTTCTGCCTTAAACAGCTGTTCTGGAAACTCTGTCCTGTCAGAGCACAGTCCTGTTTTTCTTTCCTCCTGCCCTCTCTGCAGCCAGCACGTGCAAGCAGAAGCAGGGGCTGTTTTAGGTAAGACTGGCTTTCAGTCTGTCCCCTTTTGCCTGAGGGAATCACTCTCTAAAAGCCAGGGGAAGCAGAAGGGAGGCTGCAGATGCAACCTCCTCCTCCTGCCCGTGCTGAGGTCTGGGCTTGTGTCGCTGCCCGTTTCACCCTCTGCTCGTCCTGGGGAAGGGGCAGAAGTGCCTCCTTTCTGCTTGCGGTGGTACCTTGGGGCTCTGCTGTCACCTGCAAGCAGAGTCATTTGCAAACAGGCTGTATCACTGGGGAGCAGAAATGTGTTTTTTTAAACCTTAAGCAGATTTATAGTCTGGTTTCCTGTCAGATCTTTGCATTTTCCTCCTCCGCCCCTCCCAGCCGCTGACACACTTTTTCTACTTTCTGTGTCGGAGCTCTTTGCTCATTCTGACACCGGTGCACTTGTATTCCTGATTCTTCCTAAACTTTTTGCACTTCGAAGCCTAAGGAGCTTCTTGAACTGCTTTTACCTTTCAGCAGCTTCAGAGCACAAACAACCTCTCCAGGACTCCTGGAGAGGGACAGCAACAAGTGCATGGAGGCAACATAGGGACTTTCAGCCTGCAGCAGCTGCAGTGAGACAGCCCGGTTCCTCATGAGCACCCAAGGTAAGGAGAGCGGCCGTGAGACCAGCTCCACCTCACTGCTGCCTGCAGCAGCACCTGACTCTGATCACACAGCTTCCACTTTTACCTTGCACTTTTTTGTGTGCGTTCGTGCTCAGGAAGGTGTTTCTTTGAGCGTGGTTATGTTGGCTCCTTCCTCGTGCTCAGCAGGGCTCCTTGCACAGATACTTGGAGCTCAGGGTTCAGTGCAGGCTGCAGCTGGAGGTGCATGTATGTTCTCAAATGAAGTGAGCACTGAAGGGAGAATTGAAATGGAGGTCTAGAGAGGGAGATGAACGGACTGATTGTGAGCAGTGGCCTCTAGGGAATTTCTGTTTCTGCCCATAGTATGCTGCGCCCTAACCTTTACTTTAAATCTCCTCACTGGGGATTTATGCTTTCTATTAAGTAATAAAATCTTTTTTTTCCTTCTGTTTGAATTTATTCTTGTCACTTCCTTCAGTCTTTTCTCAACCCTGAGGTGTCTTTTATTATCTTTTTCACCATCTTTTTATGTCTATTTTCCATCAAGCATATTTTTTGTGTAACAAATGTTCCTCTTGTTCCTTTCTTTGCCTTCCCTCCCCCTCCTCTCTCGCCTGTGCAGTAGACTGTGCATCCTCCCCCATGTTCTTAACCTTTCTCTCCTTCCCCTCTGTCATTTCCTTCTTCTCTGTCTTGTGGGTTCCCCTTTCCCATTGCTCCTCTAGCTCCTCACACACACTCCTACTTCCTGCCCCATCCTGTTTCTCATGCACACAGTGTATATTGCTGCCCTGCAAAGTTAATTTTGCAAACACAGGGGTTTTGGCCACTGGTTTGTCCTTACACGTACATACTGCTTTCCAGTGTGCCCTTTGTCTCTTGTGCACATGCAGGATTTGTTAATCCATTCCCATCCCAAAATACCAGCCCTTTATACCTGCACAGCTTCCTTCCAATTCACACACTGATATCTGGTCATTCACAGCAAATAACCTCTGTCATCCTGTCTCTGTGTTTCTCTCCATCTCATAAACAGAATTTTTAACACCTATAACACACCAGAACTTCCTTTCCACTTCTAAGTAGAGCCATCTCTGACATTGCTCTTTCTGTCATCCCACTCCTTCCTAAGCCCTTACCCCAAACTTCTGCCAGGTTGCTCTATCTCTCTTTATCTTGATGGTGACTTCATATTGGAAGGAGCCACCGGCCTTGCTCTCTGCTGCCTTAGTATCTCCTCTGCATACCTGTAGGGGAACTGGAGGAAGTGTTGCAGTTTTTCAGCTTCTTCTTCCTTTGCAGAACTTGCAAGCTGCAGCACAGTAAGAGCATAGTGCTGGGAGTGAGTGTGGTTGGAGAAATGGGAGAGCATAATCCAAAATGCTTTGGAAAATTGTAAAATAGTTCTGGATGACATCCTTTCTTCTAATTGCTTATAAGTCATTTTATTAGAGTAAGTAAAACTGCAGTCTTCCTGCTCCAATGCAGGACTTCTTCTCTGACACAGAGCTAGTTTTTGTCCTGTGGATCCCCTTGAAGTTTCGAACCTCAGAAGCAGAGATTCCCTACAGTAATGCTGTGGTGGGAGCAACTTTGCTCCTGGGATTGGGGAACAGCTCGTTTCTCCCCCCACAAGACATATGAGTGAGCCTCAAAGATCAAACACGGCTAAAAATTGCATCCAAGGACAGTATCCTTGGATAATAATGGTATTATTGCTTTTTTTTAAAAGTTTGTAAGCTTTGAACCAGATACAGCAAAGAAATAACTTGCTTTGATGAAGCCTTTTTTGCCTCACATTCTTAAGCAGGACTATTGAGACTGAAGATTTATTTCTAGGAATGTTCTGATGAGAGCTTTTGAGGTCTGAATAAGGATCACTTGTTAAACTCAGTTGAATTAATAAGAGAATTGTTATGTAGGAGGATTCTGTTAACAATCTAACCTGTCCATCTCCTTAAAAATTGTCCGTCTCCTTACGGGTGAAAGGAGCTAACATTTTATGTTTGCAAGGATAATATATTCTTTCTGATTCAGAGCTAGCAATTGCAGTGTTTGAGCTAGGAGCATTCTGTTCTGAATGCAGAAGCAGCTTCATTACAATATCTTTGTCTTCAGGATCTTGTGAAAAGTCGTCAAACCTAGAATGGTGAAATAAGAGAGATGTTCATTTTATTCATACAGGTCTAATATGACTCTTACTCTGTTACCACTCATCCTGTGATATGAAAAGTTCTTGTGTTCCTTTTAGTCATCGTACAAAACTTGTGTGATGATTTTGTGCTTTGTTTTTATTCTATTCTGTACCACAGTCTCTTCTGAGAAGCCTTAGTGTCTCCCAGGAACAAATTGGCGGAGACAACTTCCCTTCCCTTTTCTCTTTTTTCTCTCTCTCTTCTCTCTCTCTCTTTTTTTTTTTTTCATCCTCATAATTTGCCGTAGATTGAGTTAAAAACAGGCATTGTTAAGACCGGGTAGAGGCAGTTGCAAGGGGACAAGGAGACAGGGAGAATTTTTTTTTGTTCACTCTAATACTTTGGATCTAGAAGGGTGATTTCAACTGGAAAGAGCTTGCACATCTTCCATCCTATCCAGCAAATTCCTGTTCTAGGAGGTGCTCTGCCTGAACAGAGATTCAGAAACTGAAATATTAACTCCCTGGTCATTTGCAAATGGTTACTTCAAATTAGATTTCATTCTGAATTAAGAGAAAAATAAACTTTCAACATTGATAAGAAGACAGCAGTTTGGCTGCATGTGCATTTGTTAGAATTAAAAACAATTTGAAACTTGTCTGAAAGATGCAACCCAAATAAGTGTGAATATGTGGAAGGAATGTGAATGCTACAATGCTATAGTAGTGAAGCTCTCTGTAATGTACCAAATGACCTAGTTTCTACTGACGCTTAGTCAAATTTTTAATCAGTTATATGGCATGATTGCCTTCACTAACAGTGAAATTCGGAGATCTCCATTTCTCCCAATATTATGTCTACATTAATGAAAAAGAACAAACTACCCACTTTTTAGCAGATATCTAAACTTTCCCTGTGATATAGAAGTGGATGTGTCATGAAATATGGATATTTCCTCTAAGTGCAGTCATTAAGGTTGTGTAACTGATGGTGGAATTTGGCCTACTCTCACTTTCTTTAAAAGAAGAGATCTAACAGAAAACAACAAGGAACACGGGGCAGCTCTTGTGACCAACATGGGTGGGTAGAGCCGGCCAGTGGCCTCACCAAACTGAGGGGAGTTTTTCCACATATATCCCCTTTCGCTTTGGCTTTTTGGCACTCTTGTCCATAAGATCTGGACTGCATTTCTGGGCTGCTAGAGGAGATAGTGTCTGCAGAGAGTGTGCAATTCCTTTTTCAGAACAAATTATGGGGTTGGCTCACGTGCACATGTAATAAGTAATTCCATATCTCCTTCCTTCCCCCAATCTCTCTCAAATGCCTGTATTCTGGGTCAGTTATTTAATGGCAATGAACATTTTCAGGAAGATAACCTTTCTGCTTGTGATTTGTTCAAGGACTCTGGAATTATAATGGTTGCTGTCAAATGTATGTAATTGGCTTTTGTGGCGCACATCCAGCGAGTAATAAAAGCTGCTTTCTCTGCCTCTCCAGGCGGGATTCTCTCCCTACATTTACCCTCTCACTTTCACCCCTCTCAGGCAAAAAGAGGCGACAGTGCCAGGCAGTTTAAGTGCAGTTGGACAGAACAGCACGTCTGCCATATACCCAGGCATGGTGTATCCCAGTTGTGGCTAGAGATTGCCACACTGGCTTTGGTTAAACACAAATGTGTTCCCTGGACCTTGATCTTTAACCTCTCTTCCCTTCATACTCTTCTGCCAAACATTTGGGCTGTAGGAATGTTGGGAGTAACTTACCATAAATTCCTCTGCTTAATGATCTGCAGCACACCGCTTTTTTCCCAAAGCTCTTAAAAGTGCATTACTTCTAGCACCAAATATTGCCAGCATGTTGTGCATTGTGTGCTCTCACTGCTGAACTTGTAGAGAAGTGAATATTCTCATTATGTAAGACCTGCAAAACCTACTTTATCTTCAGTGCTAGATGGGGCATTACTTTCTAATGCTATCTACTTCAGTGATTCTGTTTAGCAGCTCAACAGAAAGGAAGAATTTGTCAAATCTCACTGGAAATCTATCCAAAATGTCAAACTAAATGTTACAACATTCTGTTTTTGTCAAAAGAGTAAATGTATATTCTGTCGTGTGCGTGATATTATTGGTAGTAATTGTTGCCTCAGTGAATTTCTCTGTACAAAGTACCACTGTGTAGGATTAGCAGATATGTTTGTTCTGGTCCCTGAGGTCAGTTTGGCCTTATGTAGAGATCTGTGTTGTGTGCACAGCCCGATAGTGCCCTGTTCCCTGGGGCTCAGCAAAGGAGAACAGCTTCATTGGAAGCGATGGGAAGACTCCCATGGCCTCCTTGAATGCTGGTTCTTTGCTAGCAAAATTTCTTCAGGTTGGAACTGAGGCACTGAAGAGAGTACATTTAACATAGGGCTTGTGTTTAGAAGGAGATCAATATATTTTTCTATATGAATGCGGAAAATGTTGTATGCTAACAGTACATATATGGCTATCATTACCAGTTAATAGATTATTTCCACTTCATTCTTTATGGCTCTATGTGTATAAATAGTTCTAATCTAGCTGTGCCCATCCTTGTAATCAGTATGAGTATGCTTAATAGGTTGTTACACACTTCTAATATATTTGAGCACAAAAGCAAGTTCCTTCGGGGTTTGAAAAAGCAATAAATAAACCTTTCAAATGGTTCCCTCCGTGAATTCTGAATCCTGAGCAAACTGGGAAATCACCTGAAGGTTCCTTCAACTCTTTTTCTAAAGATTACAGCAAATACACTTTATTTCTAAACTGCAGTGTAGCTGGTGTTTGAATCCTTTATCCTTGATCATCTGTTGGAAGATGATCACATTGAAAAGATCAGTTGAAGGCTTTTGGCTTTTAACATCTC